GCTTAAAAGTATAATCCCAAGGGTAAGGGCATTTTGGTAATTTTATAAAACAAATACTCAAGGAATTGCTATAGTGCCGATTCCCTAATTGTAATATGTCATTTCGGTAATTTCATAAAGATAATAATTAAAATAAAACTTAGATACCAATTTCCAAGAGACATCAGTAATTTATAATGCAAATATGCAAAGTATTGCTAAAATACCGATTCCTAGATTGCAATGTCATTTTGGTAATTTCATAAAGACTATATTCAAAATAAAACTTAGATACTAATTCCCAAGACATAGGGTTATTTCGGTAATTTATAAAGCAAATACGTAAAGTATCGTTAAAATACTGAATTCCAAATTGCAGGGTCATTTTGGTAATTTCATAAGGATTATATTCAAGATAAAACTTAGATATAATTCCAAAACATAGGGTTATTTCAGTAATTTTATAAAGCAAATACGCAAAGTATTGCTTAAATACCCATTTCCAAATTGTAGGGTCATTTTGATAATTTCATAAAGATAATAATATAAAATGAAGGTTATATACCATTGCTCAAAAACATAGGATCGTTTCGGTAATTTTATAAAGCCAATACATAAAGTATTACTAAAATACCGATTTCCAAATATAGGGTCTTTTAGATAATCTTACAAAAATGAAGCTTATATACCAGTCTCCAAGAAATAGAGTTATTTCGACAAATTTTAGAAAACAAATATATTGCTAATAACCGATTTCCAATGTATAGGCTCATTTTGGTAATTAAACAAGATAAATAATCTAAATTAGGTAAGAATTTGCATTTTACAAAATCCAAATAAAATTTGATGAAAATTTTAGAAAATTATATTTCTGAAACTCCAGAAGCTTAAATGCTAATTTCTAAAACTTAAATATTGAATGCATATTAAATATTCTGGTGAATAAAAGTTAACAAAAACCTTGGTTAGCCTGTTGATTAAGGTGTTGGCAGCAACGGAGAGGCTTGGGTCCGATTCCTGGCCCAAGCTGAAAATCGTCTTTTTATTAAAGATGGATCACACACGGATTTTGAGTCGGATATTGACCTGACCGACTCGGTTAATTAACCCAACGTTACAACAATCATGGCTGCTCATTTTCAGCCTTTTGAGCTCGAAAAGGGCTCGTTTGTTGACATTTTTTCAATTTTTTTTTCATCAAACTCTTGGTAATATTTTTATCAACGATTTGATATAAAGAATATAAATTTTCATCAACAAATGAGTTTCATTTCTTATTTAAAGTTTTGTTTTTAAAATTAAAACTTAACAACCTCAAAACCAAAAAATCAAACCATGTAAACACAAATATAAGGCATGAGACTGCTAGGGTTTGATAGAGAACTTAAAAACGAAGTCATAGACATAAAAATCAAAAGATTTGGTTAAGCATCTCAACCAATATTGATGAAAAACCGAGATTTTCAACTCAAATTTCTTTTTCAATATTTGCTTATTTTCTAAACTATTTGAACCAAAACAATCCTAAGTCAATGCTCTACATTTATATGCAAGAGTTTTGGATTATTAATTGACGAAATCGGATCAAATCGCAAGTTTTTGGTTGTGGGGTCGTTTTCTCCAAAAAGACATATATTGTTGGCAAAACAGGTCCCTCATCTTTGAAAAAATGATATTAAGCTCTCTGAACTTTCTGACATTTACAACCAAACCCCTTCTGACATGATAATTTACATTTTTGATCTAAAACAAATTTAAAACCCTTAATAATTAAGTGACATATATTTGGCCCCTCTCAACTCATTCATTTACATTTTTGGTCCAATAAAATAAAACTCAATTTTATTTTATTTTTCCTTTTGCCTTTCTTTTCATTATTTCTTATTTTAAAATTTTTATAATTATTTATTTCAACTAATCACATAAATATTTTAAGTCTTCAAATAAATTTAAAAAAAAAACAATATTTAAAGACTCGTACAATATTATTTTTATATATATAATATTTTAGGTTATATATATATATATATATATATATATATATATATATAGTTGGAGGTTCAAACGAGAACACCTTCATTTTACAAGAACACGAGAACACCCTTATCACATATGATAAACGCGTGAAAGGATCATGTGATGTTCGGACGACTTATTCTACGACTTAGGCCGCACCAAAGGTTGTTAACATCACATGTGATGGTCTTGATGGATTATAATATCATATCAACAACACCTTTATCACATGTGATAATACATCTGAGGGGCCTAGTGGTGTAAGGGCGACTTGGCCTGCAACCAAGATCGCATCGAAAATCGTCCGCGTCTTTGATTTAGTATCACATGTGATGGAATAATAGTATCACATGTGATTGTCTATAGTAAAAAGGTGTTCTCGCATTCTCATAAAATGAAGACGTTCTCGTTTCAACACTTCCCTATATGTATATGTGTGTGCGTTTGTGTGTGTGTGTGTATATATATATATATATATATATATATATATATATGTAAGAACAAATTAATATATCGAAACAAATTTTTTAATAAATTTTTCATATAAAAGATAAGAACCATTTAGAGAAACCCTTAACATTCAACTAATTCTTGTATCGTCCAAATTTATCAACAAAAAAGAACATCCAACATCATAATAGTATGTTTAACGATCTTGAGTCTCGGAAAGTTGGTCTTGAACATTTAATGAAGATAAAAAACTTGAAAGTGACTGACCGGATAGAATCGACCTTACCTTTTGTTGCAACTCATCAACTTCATCATTCGTACGAAAGAGCTCGGTTTTAGTTGAAGCAAGCTCGGACTCTGTCGAATCAAGTCTAACAGACATCTCCATGTGGCTCCATCTACTTGAAGCACCGGTGCTATGTCACGAACTCGTAGAATGCTCCTTCGGGACCCTAAACTTTCCTCGAATATAATGCAGGTCTTTTACCTAAGACTTGTTGCATAATATCTATATCACACGGTTGATTTTTTGTTGATTCAGTTTGCCGCTTAATCTCTACCATGTTCTCATATGGACAATAAAAATCACATATATAAATATAGTGACTTATAAAACGATGAAGACATGCAAAAGAGTTCATTAAACGTAACTCACATATGAAGTGCGAGAATAGTCATTAACCCAACCCTCTTTTTCTCTCTAATGCAACTTTCGAAAAGTCTCTATCTCACCGATAATCTATTTCGAACATTCATCCTCTAATGCCCTACTTTGCTTTCCATTTTTGTCATCTAAATCATTATGTATTATTTATCTCTAGATACACTTGTTAAAGCTTCTCTGAACATTCTCTCTAAAGCTGTATTTCCTTGTAGTGTATCTCCAATAACATCCATAATGATTCCCCTAAATTTAAGGAAATGATAATGTAGCCATTTAATTAAAAAAATTAATAACATCCATAAATTGTCCCCCTAAAATTTAGAAAATGATAATATAAACGTAGATATTTTTCTAATTAGTTGGTTTGATGCATTTTACACACTTACCCCTGCTCCACCTTGTTCACATATGCTTTATCACGTATCTCCTTCTCAATCTATTTACATATTTATCACCATTAAATCTAAATCATTTATATGTAAAATATTGTTTACATATATTTGTTTTATAATGTAATATTTCAACACCATGTGAAACCTTTTACGTGCATTAGATGAAAAAAAATTATGTAAAAAATATTTTAAAATCGGTTTTACATATTTATAACCTTTTTATGGTTTTCATTTGATTTGCCATATATAATAATAACACATAATTAAGAACAGGAGTTTCCTCCACCGCAATTAGTCATTTTTTAACATGTTATGCAGTGTGCAATCTCAATGTCAACCTTGATTGTGCATGTTAAGAGGACATAGAGAAAACACGTATCACAATTGGGCTTTCAAACTAAGTCTTGTCGTCGACGAAGATATTTTTGCCGTTGAATATTTGCACACAGAGTTTATAGAAGCACGTGAATCATACCTAATTTGATTCAGTAAAAAACAAATGAATTTGAGTAACACTGAAGAAAGTCTAGGTAATGGTTACAAGAATGGAGGATGCACACAATGAAACAGACATAAAGCTCGAAAAAAGTAAAACTGGTCGAGAATATGGGTACCATTTTGTGCACCCTGATTCGGTGGTATCTGTTGAACACTATGCCTGTGTTTGACCATCGTAGAAGAAATGATAAAATATAAGTCTAAAGAAGCATTGAAGAAGAAGGAATGAGATAGGTGGGGTGAGGGAGGAGGCAAGGCTAGGTGGTGTGAGTTTAGGTTAGGATTTATTTTTACTTTTTTTAATTGTAATTGATTTGTATACAAACTTTAAAAACTTGTATACTTAGGGGCCGTTTACCAAACGCTTACCAGGGTAAGCACTTACCAACTAACATTACCTCATCGCATGAATATGGTAAAGCCAATAATCTTATGCGGTAAGAGTGAGAGAAGGACAAAGAATCTTACCCGGTAAGTGAGGACGACGACTCTTACCATGGTAAGCGCTTACCAGATAAATTGTTGCATACGATATCGTTTTGGTGGATTAAAATCTTATCCGTTAAGTAAATAATAGTGTTAAATTTTATCGATAAGTGTTTGGTAAACAACCCCTTACTTTAATTAATAAAAGAAGAAAAATGACAAAAAAATCCCCCGAACTTAACATGTAGACTTAACGCTCATTAGGGTCAAGGTAAGCAAATTTAAACGATAGGTGTACGGTGTAATTTCAAAAATACGATGGCAAATGGTAGACTTTTAGCAAACCACAAGGGCTATTTGTGTAATTTACTTTAAGCAAATACAGTGAAAGTATTGCATATTAGATCATGGACGCTTTTTGTTGGTACCAAATACCAATAGTGTAAAAATGAAATTTTATTGAAGTTGAGGGACGAATTTTGAGTTTTTTGTAAATATAAAATGAAATTCACAAAAACAGATTTTAGAGAAGTTCCCCGCCAAAACCCTAAAGTTTCGTTCATCATGTCTCGACCAACCGATGACACCAGAAGGAAACCCTAAAACCAGTTGAGAATCGAATCAACTCTATGGATTTTGCCTTAGACGAATAATTTGTTCACGAGCAGAACGAACTGTTGGGGACAAATGGGCGAAAGAGAGACGGAAATTGAAGTCCGAACCCTAACCGGTGAAACGATCACAGTCTCCATTTCATTGAATAGCACAATTCATGAACTCAAGCTTCTCCTCAAACAAATCTTTCCTCCCGCAACCACCTCCTCGAACTTCCACCTTTTTCTCAAGGTATTGGCTTGTCTGGACTTTTTTTTTTCTAATGTAGAAACATATGCGTAGCGATGAGTGTGTAAAGTTTGGTGATTGGTGTAATGTGCGTTTTGTTTGTTTTTGATGCAAGACTATAATTGCTTCTTATTACTGCCTTCCTGTAATCTGATTTGCAATACATTGGTTCAGGGCACGAAACTAGGTTTGCAGAGTCAGATAAGTAGTAACTTGATTAACCATGGAGAATTTATCGTTCTTATTCCATTTACGAAGAAGGACAAGCAGCAAACAGTGAAGCAAGGGGCGAATGAAACAAATTCTCAAAATCTCCATCAGTGTTCCACCTCAAAATTTGCTGAATTAGCTTGGTCTGATATGATGCAAGACCTATCCTCTCTCCGGGATCGAGAGACTGATGGCAATGAGAGTCATTCTCATGTTGACGTTGGAAGCACCAATTCTGACAATCAAAACAAAGCAAATAAGAGAAATTGTAAGAGCTTGTTTGATGAGGCAATACATGAGTTTTTGAACACATTGCAGTCATGTCACAATGATGAGTTGGATGAAAAGAGTTGCGAGAGGTTTATGCAGATTTTGGAGTCAGTTAATTGTTTATCTGATCCAGGAACCAGGAATTGTATAATTGGGACTGCAAATATACGAGCCAGTGAAATCAACTGTACTGCTCACAGTAGCTATTCATGCTTTTGTCCATCATGGCTGAAGGTTCTATTGAAGGCGTTTTATTTCTTGAACATTTACTGTACTTTTCTTCAAGTGCAGCAGAAAAAAGTTACCCAGCATAGTTTGGAGGGAGGACTGCATCAGCTATGCAAGTTTGGACTTGGATTTGAATATGCTGATCTTGAGAATCTTGCTGTGCTCTGTCCTCAGGTAATTGAATATATTATAGAACTGTACGACTAAGTAATTACTGAGGCTTATTAGCTTAAGTGATTTCTAGAACTGTATCATCCCATCCTTGGGTTCTGCATAATGAATTACTGGGGGTGCATCAAGATGCGGAGAAATTTTTTTATCTAGTGGAATGTGGTTTCTGGGTCTCTAAAAAACTTACTAGCATAAGTATAGGGGTGTAAACAAGTCGAGCTTTTAACGAGCTACTCGTGCTCTAACTCGTTTATCTCGAACTTAATAGTTATCGAGCGTGAGTCGATCTTGAATACAAAATAAAGATCCTTCAACTTAACGAGTTGAGCTTCATAACACCAATGTTCGACTCGACTCATTCGAAAGCTCGATTAAACTTCACGAGCCGAGCCGAGCCGAGCAGAGCCAAGCCATTCGAGCATACACTTTCTCGAGCCAAACATATTTATATGTTTACAAATTATATAATCAAAATATAAAATCATTGAGCTTGAGTAAATAAATGAGTTAATTGATCTCGAATTCGTGATCGTAAACGAGCATCGAGCTCCAGCTCAAACATTGAAAATATATTCGAGCTCGAGCCCAACTTTGAAAATGTTAATCAAGGTCGAGCCTGATATTATTTTTTTGAGCTGAGCTTGAACAACCTGCTACTTGACTCGGCTCGACTCGTTTGCACCCCTACTTGATAAGTACTCATGCAACTTATAATGACCACAACTTCCTTTGAAATAACAGAGAAGCTATTGCTAAGAAGCTTAAAATCATAACCATAACTTTCTTTGAAATAACAGAGAAGCTATTGCTAAGAAGCTTAAAATCATAACCATAACTTTCTTTGAAATAACAGAGAAGCTATTGCTAAGAAGTTTAAAATCACGTATTTGGTTCTGTCTCGGCATACAAGCAGTCGTTTAGGTGCTTCAGCTTCTCATGATTGATTATGATTGTAATTTTCTTTTCA